AAAGGGTCAAAATTTATTAAAATTTAACAAGGAATTCAAAAAAAAATTTTTCAAATTTTTTTACCGGAACCATCGGGTTCCAGGAACCTTTTTTGTTAAAAATAACGTTTTTCGGCTCCAGACGCTATCGCCTTCAATTAAAAAATCTGAAAAAATTTGAGATTATGTATTTTGATGAACAAAATGAGAAAAAAATTTTTCCAGATTTTTTGAGGCTCCGTACACGGAGAAATATTCTCACTACAAAACAAGATGCGGCGACGCGAGAGGGCGGGCGCGCGCGTTAAGTTTTAAGGCGAGCACGTCGAAACACGATGCGGGTATGTTTCACGTATTGTGAAGCGTTCAGGGCGGCGTATTCACGTGCGTGCATTGGAAATCGCGGTGCAACATCAAAATATAAACAAGCTTCGGCGTGCGCACCTCACAACTTCTGATGTCTTCTGAATGATCGTCGTACCCGTCTTATCCGCGCGCGCCCACCAAACCACGTTTTTCGGCACATTCGCGCTCGGCATTTTTGAGTCCACGGTTTCCCCAACATGACATTTTTACGCAATACTCCTGAATAGATTTTCTTCATTTCGATGTAAATTATAAGTAAGGAATATTTTGGAAGAACATTGTGGAAAACACGTCTGACTTTGAGACCGCTTTTCCGGGTGAAAAATACATTTTTCGGAAAAATTAATGTCACCATCGGAAAGAGCAGGCAAAAATCTATCGATTTGCATATACGAAATATTTTCCCAACGTCAGTGGTGCTAGTGCTAGCGAGTTAGAAAAGCCGCGATCGATTAAACAAGCCGTACGCGCGTGGCCATATTTACTTTACGTAGATCTGACACGACTCGATGTCGATAAATTGATCGTAGTACGAGCTGCGTGCATCGAAAAAGGCGACGCACGCACGCTAAAACGCAAAGCATGGACGCGCCGAGAAACGCAGAGCAGCGGCATCGATTTATGTGAGGCGCTCACCGCTTTTTCTGATGTAGTGGCGCTCTTTTATGAGTAGATGGCGCATCATATTTTCGAGTGCTGGGTCGCATCGCGTTAACTGGTGTACATATTTCTCCGTGTAGCGCCTTAAAAAAATTATTTTCGTGAAAAAAAGGGGTTTTCAGCTCTAGGCTGAATGGACATGAATGAAAAATTCTGAAAAAATTCGAGGAATCGTTTTTTGACGTCAGAATTCAGAAAAAAATACTCCGGTCTGGTATATCGATCCATTTCACCGAAAATAAAATAATTTAAATTTTCAATGATTTTTTCTGAAGGCCTGAAGCACTCGAAAAATCTGAAAAATTTCGAGATTGTTTGGATTGTTGGAAAGTACCTTCATGAATTTTTTCAGATTTCTTAATAGCTTCAGGCCTTCAGAAAAAATATAGATAGAAAATGGACGTCTATAGAGGAGGAGGGGGGTAGGAGGGGGGAGGGGGTCAAAAATTTTGGTTTTGGCACTTTTTTATCATGTACTATAACATACCAAAATTTCAGGAAAATCCGTGAACCTCGCCCGCAGGTTTATTTGAAAAATTCTGAATCTGACCCATATAGATTAAATTAGTCACAAAGTGAAAATTTGTTCTATTAAAAAATTTACGAGTAACTAAAATAACCCAATGATTATGATTTTTTTCAATTGGAGATTGATTAATTTTTGAAACTCGAAGATGAGATACTGAACGAAAAAATTATTTAGTCACTAATATTTTTGAAATTATTCGAAGAATTATGCAGAATTAATCCGAATTTTCACAGAAAATTTTTGGGCTTTTGAAAAATTGTCAGAAATCAAAAAAAAAAAAAATAAAATTAACTCGCAAAATTCTGAAAAAATTCAAGGATGTTCTGTGATCAATTCTAAGAACATTTGTAAGTATATAATTATTAGCCCTGTGCTTCATTTTCAAGTTAAATAGTTTAGGGCAATAAATCTAATTACTACATATGTTTTGAATAGGGCTGCACAAGTACTCGGTATTTTGAGTTGAGACGAAACCAATGAGTACTCGAATTTATTTGAAATAATTTTTTTCATTTTAACGAGTCATATCGAAAACACCACGAAATGACTATTTCTATTGGAAAATATTTTCGACGAATAACCTGTTGATGTCCAATAAATGACCAAAGTATTGTTCTAACAAAGAAGGACGAAGATGGTTTTATCAGTATGAAAATAAAATAAGTTCATTTGCACTTAACGGAAAAGAAAAAAATAAACTGAATACATAAGCACTTCTAAATTTTAAAATGTGCTTAAATTAGATCTTTACACGTTTTTCGAAAATATATTCAATTATCAGGCATGCCTGGAAAAGATATAGTCAATTTCCAGGCATTCCTGGAAAAAATATATTCAACTTCCAGGCATGCCTGGAAAAAATATATCGAAAATCAGACATGCCTGGAAAACGTATACATCATTTCCAGGCATGCCTGGAAAACATATATATCATTTCTAGGCTTGCCTGGAAAATAGACGAAAACATAGGATCTTTCTAGGCCTTACCGGAAACGGGTCAAAATCCCAGAAAATGTACAATATTCACAGGATTTTACCGGAAAATAGACTGAAATATACATATACATATATATATATATATATATGTTTTTTTTTTTTTTTTAGAAATCGAAATCAGAAAAATTGGGGACGCAAAAACGTTTAAAAAGTTTTCAAGGAGTAAAATATAGGATTATTATTATATTCATATTAAAAAAAATGTGTTTTGTTACCTGCAATCACAACTTTGTCTGCGCCCATAGCTTTAGCTGTCACCAAAATCATGAGTCCTATTGTACCAGCACCAATAATCATAACTTTTGAACCGACTCTAACTTTTGCTCTTTTACATGCGTGAACGGCGACTGATAAAGGTTCTGCCAAAGCCCCTTCTTCTAACGTAACATTTTTCGGTAATCTAAAAGAAATCATGTACATGACAAAAGAAATTCACATAAAGCAGAAGCTCGAATTTAAAAGATATTGTAAAGGTCCAATTAAAGGTTCAAATCATACACGGGACAGCCTGCATATTTGAATAAAAAAAAAAATAACTGAAAAATTGAAATTTGATTTTTTTATCACACAATCCTTGTTACTATGAACATCAAATCTCATTTTGACATCGTATTGAGTTTGATACTGATGCGATATAATTTAATGGAAAGTTAACATTACCGATACCGATAAGATATGGAAAATTATTATTCGATACAAAAATTAATTATAAGAACAATTGGTAATAATGAAGCCTTCTATGCTTAGTTTGATCCAATGGACCTTAGGGCCCATTTTAAAAATCATTTTCTAATTTATTGAAAAATCTTTGTGATTTTCTAACTCGTAACAGGACATTTTGGAGACCTGCTATCACCTATTTTCAAAGGCCCAAATTTGACGCGTTTTTAAGTTTTTCCTAATAATTTCAGACACCTTTGAAAATAGGTGATAGTAGATTTCAAAAATTCTAAAAAAATTCAAATGTATTCTTTGACTAATTCAAAGACTTGTTCATTTTGCAATTTTTCGCTTAAGATGTTCTGTTACAAGTTAGAAAATCACAAAAAAGATTTGTCAATAAATTAGAAAATGATTTTTATAGTGGGCCCTAAGGCTCATTGGATCAACCTAAGCATTGTGGGCTTCATTATTAGGTACCAGGAGACCAGAAAAAAATTTTCAGCACATTTGGTGACCCGCATCTCATGTGATCTCCTTGTAAGTTGGTTCATGTAACTTGAATATGAATGCGTATTGACTTATAACATCTCAAAAATAACTTTTAGACCTTGCAAAATTTTAACAGATACCACATTCATATGATTATAGAATAATAAATTCTAGCGATAATACATTGAAATTAATCTTACTTGAAACATAAATCAGCAGGATGAGTATAATATTGTTGTAAGTTTCCATCTATTGGCGGCGTGGCACAAAATTTCATTTCTGCACATAGGTTGTATTTACCTTTTTTGCAAAAATTGCATATGCGACATGGAATTCCAGGTTCAATAGCTACTTTATCACCAATCTTAAAAAGATAATATATGATGACTAACATTTTATAAATTGAAACGTATGTCTGTGGTAAAATAAAATTAAAAACAAAAATTAGAATATACAAAGTTGATATTCAGGGAACGTTCATAAACAAGATTTTTGATTTTTGCTTACAAAAATGACAATTTTTTAGGTAAAATTATGGTAAGCTAGGGTTATTTCAAGTTTAGTTTACCAATTGTAAAATTCCTCCTGATCCGAAAATGTAACACTTGAAAAATGTATATCTAGAATTTATTTAAGGGCTCAAAGGGGGCTCAAATAATTTTATATTTCTATTTATAGTATTAAGCTAAAACAATGAAAAAATTTTTTTTTAGAAAACAGGCATAAGAGCCTTTTTCAATACCCTATTTGAAAATACTTTCTCCAGTTAGATACTTACAAACACTTAAATTAACTGGTGTAAGTCTATGATATATATTCAGCGATAAACATTTGTCGTCTTTAAGCTGGCTGCCGTAGGTTTCCGAGTGTAGCATAATATCAACTTTGAGGTCTACATAATTTTTTCATGAAAAGCACATGTTTGAAACAAAGAAATGCAACCCTCCAGGTTAAGGAATATGCTTCGGTGCCTGGGCTACAGCTGTTTAAAGATTACACAAAATTAAGTAAAAATGTCTAATTTCAGACTTTTAAGGGGCCCTTTATAATGTTAGTTTATGAATTAAATTTTTGACTTTCTTGAACTTTAATTTTTTTAAATCTTTTCAAAATTGTTTCAAGACTTGATTTTACATGCTTTTCTATAAAGATTTTCAAGATTTTTCTTCTTTTATATTTTAGTATTTTCAGTTAATAAATTTTAAATAAGTTTTACTCCTGGAGGTGGTCCATAGACAGCTGTTTGAGAAAAGGAGAAGGGAGCACGAATATAAGTCACGTATAAGCACGAATATAACGAATATAAAATTTTGTTTCAACATTCAACATTCAACATTTAATTCAAAGCTATGTGAAGCCGATAACTTCTACTTTCCTCTCATAATATACAAAGTTCTCCATAAGTGGCAAATTGAGTCGAAATCACGGTGAGATTGATTTGTTTGCTCGCATTACAAATGGATGAAAATCATTACACTAGCTCAAATGTTTTTCCTCTTTTTTGCTCTAATACAAAACAAAATTTTATCATTTACGGCTGCGTTGCCAACCTAAATTCAACGCGTCAAAACTTTCTTGCCACTTCGTTTGAATAAGCTACTTTTTTGCTTCTACGCTTGAATTAGATACCTTTTTGCCGCTGCACTCAAGTTAGATACCTTTTGGCCTCTGCGCGCGAGTAAGTATCCTTCTTGCTACAGAATTGGAATAGATACCTTCCTGCGCTGGGGCGACGATGTTGAATAATAAAACTGATATGAAGCTCTAAATCAACATTCCACAAAACTCAATCCAAAAAGAGCATCTTTCCAAAGATATTGCTCCGTATCAGGAGTCCCTACCTCATAAACTCTGATTTGAACCTTGTGCACAGTGCCAGAATGCTAAAATAGAAAAAATAAGCTATATTTAGATGCAAAGGTAAATTGATGCAAAGACTCATTCATTATGCACCAGATGTGAAACATCGATGCTTGTGTTGGGATTTTCGAAGTTTTTTCTAGTTTCTTGATTTTATAGTTTCTAGTTTGGTTTTTTGTTTTGACTATTGTTTGATGTTTTTGGAATTTTTTATTGGAAGGAGGGAAATCCTATTTACGGATTCGATATGTGACTCTTGCTTGTCGCATGGATATGTCGGACTCGAGTAGTGTACAGCTGTTCGTGTACAGACGTTTTTGTGTGGGCGTGTAATGTGCCTCCCTACTAATACCGACTAAAACCCATCCTTATCTCCTGCCCCTTTTCTTCCCCGCGGGACCACCTTTAGGCATTACTTCTCGGGGGAGGCTCGAGCTGTGTGCTCACTTAAGGAGTGTTATCTTCCATTCTTCATCGTCTTTTTCTTACCGCATCGTCCGGTCATCTTCTTCTGGCCCTCTCTTCGCCCCTCGGTTGTATCATGACAGAGTGGGCAAAGGAGGACACTTCCAGCCAGTTGGGTTTAGTGTCGCAGGCTCCAAGGGCCCTTGAGAGAGGCGGTGGAGCGCCGCATTTTCTAGGGCTTGAAAATGTTAATTTTATGTTGAATATGTAAATTGACGTTAAGCTGTGATTTTTCGCTCGATGAGTTTTAACCGTAGTGATTTTGATCCGAAGTGATTCGGATGCCACTATAAACAGAAGACCATGCATGAGAGTTCAGCCCTCACAGCATGGTATTGTCCTAACCACGTCGTGGCATCGGAGAGCGAAGAACAAAATGGAGCTAAAAGTACACTCGCGAGATGGTGATAGACTACAAGTATCGCAAGATGAAGCTAAAAAAAGAAATTATTCCCACTCGAAATTTAGATACAGTATCATAGGGTCAAGGAATGAGCTATGTAGTGTGTACTTTAAATCAGACCGACACGATCCCTGTAGCCAGCAGGAGTACAGTCGATGTATGGTTTGGTTGCAAGATCGTTAAGGGGGGAAAGGTACCTTAAACCTACATTTATAAAAAATTTATTAATTATGAAGAAAAAAATTTTTTTTGGAATATACAGAAAAAACTTTTCTTCGCTCTTTTTTCAAATTTTTTCACTCTGGAATATGAAAATTGAGATCCCAATCACCATAGAACCCTCCTTGATGAAGCAAGCTCACAGTCCTGACAGGTACCCCTGTGTCGTAGGATCCAGCTAGAACCGATGGCTCAATCATGGTCATTGGGGTCTCATTTTGATCATTAGATGTGTGGTTACAAACGCAAGCACTTTTAGATTTCTTAATGAGTTATACACAATTTGCCAGCCACATATACACATTTATTCATTAACATATATGATAAAATGACAGATTATGCTACAATATAGCCTGAAAAAAGTGCTCATTTGTCCCAATACCTTTGAAAGTGCTTGCGTTTGTAGCCATTCTTATGTAGAACAATCCCAGCCCATTTGCTCAAACGGTTCATGTGGAAAGTTACGGCAACAAAGCAATTTTGAGATGAAACGTAACTGCTCAAGAGTTGAAAAAAACAAAAATACACTAATATATTTCATAATGATATTTTCATGTCACTGAGGCTGCTTAAAACTTTTTGGACAATAAAAAAAAGTAATTCAATTGGAATTTTGAACATATTGGACTCACAAGGACAATGTTCAATTATCCCAGACAGCCACACACAGCCAAATGTGCCAATTTCATTACCACATTTTATAAGTTGTACTAAAATGTTAGTATACGCTTATACGGGTTTCATATGGAAACTGGTTACTAAGTTGATTATGTCCAAATCAACTTTTCACACAAATATGCACAATCTCATATTAGAACTTGAACCCAGTCTTCTACCTATTCTATAACATAACATTCATAAGACATCAATCACTGGATCTACAATTTGAAATAAAATCAATCAAAATTGATCAATTATCACTAATCTTGTTTATCACATGCAACATACAATAATATATATGATACAGTCATATACACATACATAAAGTGCAGTGAAATACATATGCACTGATGTATATATGTCAATTTACACATGCACTGCTGTATTTCTTGAATTTGAACTGCTAAGAATGTCACATTTACATAAAAAGCTATTGATATTTCTTCATAGTTTTATTATGAAACACTATGGCAAATTGCAAAGATATAACATCGCTGTACATGTACTTTTTTCACTTTCAAAAAAATGTAATTTTTAGCCATTGGAAAATCAAGAAACAGTCAGCAGACTGTTATTGACATTTGATCCGGGCTCGCGCACGAAACAGAGGGAGACAGAAGATATGCCGAAATCCAAGTGCTGCGAGTGGTGGCGTTACTGTACACCTATAGCCATGTAAACAAAAAAATTTCTGCTAGATGTACTCTAACCAAAGAATAAAACGAGTATCAATAGATGACGATACCGACTTATGAAAGTCTCGAGATTCATGAGAGAATGGCAACGATATCTTTGAGTCGTTTCATTCATTTTTTCTAAATAATCGTAAAAGTATCGGAACTAAATAGGCTGTACATCACGGTCAAGTTAAAATTTTTAAATTCCGATTGCGGCACTGGAAAGCTGAGGAAAAATCCTATCAAAAACGTCAATAAAAAAAAATTTTTTTTGAGATTTTAGGTACCCTTTCCCCCTTAACGAGGAAACGTCCAAGGAATCAATTGAAAATGTATTTGTTTGATAAGACATTAATTATATACTTTACCCATTGAGAGTATACACTAAGAGTATTTGCGATGTCATCAGTTTAAGTAACATCACATTTGACGACAAAATTTACGTTAAAAAAATTCCAGACCTTTTAATTATCACTGGGTATGTTGTTCGAAAGAAAATGGTTAGTTACAAGGCCTGATCAGCTATTCTTGGTTTTGAACAAACACATGCGCAAGGTTATTTCAGATTTTTCAGCGTAGTTACTTGATGCATTCATTCGTTTCATTCTGAGTTTTCTTCATTCGACAAAATGAAAACCATAACTATGTCAATAGTATTATTAGTAGTCAATAGCATTATGTTAATAAACTAGTGCCCTAGTTTATTGGCATCGGCTTCGCCTCGGCCATTAATAACACGTACCCTGAGACTTTTCTGTTTTTCGCGGCTTAGGCCTGTATACTATTTTTCATACCCCGTGGCCCAAAAATAGCTCTTTCAGTTTTGCGCAGCGGCCGGGAAGTAGTCACCTTCGGGCCACTGGTATGAAAAAATTTTTTCTGCCCCGAGATATGAGAGAATGCATTTTTATAACACAGCCTGAAAGTTTCGAGGATAGTTCAAGTTGTGTAAGTCTGATAAATAAGAGCCAATATAGCTTGAACCTAGCTGAACTGAATCGCTAAATTAAGAAAATTTCTCAAATCTAAGAATTTTGATCCTACAGATTATGATTCTTGTGTCTACGATAACAGATGTAACCTCATAATTGTGCCGCATTTTGATGATGGTCTTATGATTGGAAAAAAAGCAGCAATGATCGAATTTGAAAGAAATTATGTAAAGAATTTAACATAACGTTCCTTTCTAATGAAGAAAAATCATTCACATGCATAGGCGTGAAAATAAAATTAGTCTCAAATGATATTTTTGTAAATCAGTCAAAATATGTGGAAAGAACTTTGTAAAGCTATACACTACTCAACAAAATAATCACGAGACAAAATTTCATCGAAATTTTGTTAATTTTCAAATGGTTCTATCTTGGTTTACATTCATCTTAACAAGACGTATTTCTTTTCAATTTCTTGGAAATTTTGTTCTCTTTGAATCCATCTATTTATATTATGTATGGGTTTAAGTCAATATCGAGTAAGCAGTAGTATTTGAGCGCAACACTAAAAGTTATTGAAAAATTGATCGTTTAAGTGTGTCTATGGACTATAACAGTAATTTGTTTATAAAAATCATACCTACACCATCGCAAAGTTCTCTTTTCAACGAGTAATTTGAACAAAATAGAGCTCTCTTCGATGATTTTTGCTCCCTGTAGGTCATTTAGAAGGTACTTAAGGCTGATTTTTGACTGTGTACTATTGCTTTAATTTGAAACTCACGAAAATACCATTTTTTGACTTCTTGATTTGCAATTAACTTCGATTAAATTCAAGATGATCTGATGATAAAAAAAATTCAGAAATTTAACCTAAGATCGTGAAATGATGAAGAAAAAATGTATATGAATGCTTTCTACCTGCTTAACCAAGACCGGTTACAATTCTATACTTGTATTCAAAAACGAGCAAAAAAGGTAAAATTTAAATTTAAATGTATTAAGCTTACATCATTTTTATAATATCGTAAAAAATTGATACCTGCAAATGTTTAACTTCTTTTCCAAGCTTGATAACAGTTCCAGAAGCTTCATGTCCCATAATCATAGGCTTATTCAAAATGAAATCACCGATTCTTCCATTAACCAGATAATGTACGTCAGAACCACATATTCCGACACAAGCCATTTTTAGAAGTACTTCTGAAAATGATTATATTTTATAAGTATTGATACCTTACCTTAAAACACATGAGTACAATTTTGTCATTAGGGATCGAAAGCGAGGAAAAGGGAGGTATTATTAATTAGGTATTGCAACGACTAGGGCTGTGCGAGTACCTGAGTTTTCGAGTTTTACTCGACTCGAACTCGACTCGCCGAAATCGAGTTGAGAGTGAGTCGAGTCGGAAAAATTTAAGTACTCGAGTTTCTTGAGTTCTCGAGTTTCTTTTGAGTACTTGAGTTTTTTCGGATACTCGAATTTTTCAAGTCATCGAGTTTTTCGAGTACTCGCAATATATTTAAGTTTTAAGTACATAAATGATAAATTAACAGTCCCTAAACCACCTTTGTATGTACGTGCTTACAAATGTGATCAAGTGTGGTGCTATTAAATTATTTTCTTCTTTCAATTCAAACCACTGCAAATTTCACACTGTTAAGCATGTATAAGGGAGGTGGTCTAGAGACTGTGAATTCATCATTTATTTACTTAAAACTTAAATATATTGCGAGTATCCGAAAAAACTCGAGTACTCGAAAAAAAACGCGAGTACCACGTCCAATTATTAAAATCAGTCAAATATTATACCCTAAAACTAAGCTTTTGCATCTGCGTGTCATTATAAGTATGGATATTCACACTCGAATATGAGTATTTTTGATCTTTACATGTCTAGCAAAGATAAAAATTATTTCGCGGTCATTATAGTAGTTTAAATAATGCCCATGGAAAATGTTCGATTTTGAGACCCAATATTAGCATGCGCGTGCACAACTCGTTCGCTGTTAGTCCAGTCAAATTAGTTTTGAACGTGAAAAAATTCGCAACCGGCGTTTCTCACCGGGATCCGTTAGGGTTCGATGGTAGGAATGAAGTAATAACAAATGCCACAGTTGAGTCGATTGGAATTTTAACAATTGGGCCCTTTGAAATTAGGAAAATCGGTTTTTCGGCTACAGATTGAAAACCGTACATTTTATGAAAAAAAGTTTCAAACAAAAGTTGTAGGTCCTTGCAAAACCATCAATTTGACATATATAACATTGGAAATCGGTTCATTTGATTATTAAAAACGCCTCAATTGTCAATAACAACAAAAGGGACTTACGGACATCGCAAGAATATCTAAGTGGGCTCAAATCAAAGATAATTACTTTTTATTTTGTGATCTATGATAAAAATATGTTATTTTACAAAAGTAGAAGTAATTATCTTTGATTTGAGCCCACTTAGATATTCTTGCGATGTCCGTAAGTCCCTTTTGTTGTTATTGACAATTGAGGCGTTTTTAATAATCAAATGAACCGATTTCCAGTGTTATATATGTCAAATTGATGGTTTTGCAAGGACCTACAACTTTTGTTTGAAACTTTTTTTCATAAAATGTACGGTTTTCAATCTGTAGCCGAAAAACCGATTTTCCTAATTTCAAAGGGCCCAATTGTTAAAATTCCAATCGACTCAACTGTGGCATTTGTTATTACTTCATTCCTACCATCGAACCCTAACGGATCCCGGTGAGAAACGCCGGTTGCGAATTTTTTCACTTTTAACACAGAGTCACATCCAACTGGACTGGACTATGTCTAAAGTGTATATTTTCAAACTATTGTATGTTGAAACTATTGTATGGTCGTCGAAACTTCGTTCGCATCATGAAGCGTTTTGTACAGTGTAAGAACGAACTAAAACGACTTTTTTCTATATAAATGTCTTTGTCGTCACGCAGTAAAAAGTGATTAAAGAGTGATTTGTCAGTAGAATTACTTGTCTTAGGATGACTTGTCGATATGATGCCTTAACGAGGACGAATTTACGAGTTGAGTTGTCTAAAGGATGTAAAGTCAGGAACACAGTCTCGTCCGGTCAATAACTGCGTGAGATAGTATGTAATTTCGCCGTGTCACCGTTCCATCCATCCCTCGATGTCCAGGATCAGTCGGTGCGTCCATCTTCCCTTTGTCGCATGGTCCCATGGGACCTGCCATCTTCTGAGCGTCTACTGGCGCTCGCCATCCGCGAGTAGTCAAGTAGTGATATGCTGGCTAGGACGTAGTTTTGCGTCCTCGCAGCATCCTTCTATGTCAAGACACCGTAGAAAATAATGGAGTCGACGACACTGACAAGGTATCTGATACAGAGAACCAACGTAATTTCGCAATTTCCGGCTCTTAAGGTGATGTATTCCTGCAGTTTTTTACTCGTAACAAGCAGAACTTGAATTTTTTGATCGGTGGCTTGCAATTTTAGTTCACCGAGTACTGCGCGAACTATCCGGATAGCCTCATTTGAGTTCATCTCAATATCTTCCAGATATTTGCCGACTACGGCGAGCTCCATGTCGCTGCAAAGCTGACAACCAACACCGTCTGGGTCAGGTTCAGGTTCAGTATCTTATGGTACAACGCATTCCAGAGGAAAGGGGGTACAGACTTCTGAGGAAAGCCAGCCGTAACGTTATAAATTGTAACGGTGCTACTCCGGGCAACCCGTGTCCCGTCTCGGTTTCCTTCTTTGCTGAAATTTTAGTGGAGGATCGTTTAAATGAATGTGATGTGTATTCTGAATTAATAATGAAAATGATAAGGGGATCAATAACCAAATTTATGTACATTTAAGAATACAATTAATATCAATACGTGGCATTTCAAGTCAGCTCTCCCAGTGCCGCGCGGCACGGCAGAATCAAGTAAAATCACTAAATTTGTGAATCGCTGTAAAAATACTAAAATGCACCTAAAGAAAAAAACGAACACATGATTTCGATGGCAAATTGCCTCAGATTTCCGATGGTGAGGTCTGATTTTCCAAAATTTTCCGCTTTACCTGGGAAAAACTTTAAAGTTGATTATCTCCAAAACTTCATTTTTAAGATTTATTTAAATAGTCTACATCGAAAGATCAGGAAATTTTCCATCGAAAGAGACATTTTCCAGAGAAGCGCTTTGGATTTTAGCGAGATATAGCAAGAGAAAAAAGAAAAAACGTGGTTTTCGCGTGGTTAGTGGCGCGCGCGGGCGGCCGGACATAAAATTCATTAACGATTAACATTTAATAATAGATATACTTATATTTTTATTATCATTTTGATCTGGAGTCAGATCTGATATACTATTTGTCGCATACCTATCACTCGAGTGTCAACGTGGCGCAACACATCACGCCTAATTTTTTTTTTTTTTTTTTTTTTTTTTTTTTTTTTTTTTTTTTTTTTTTTTTTTTTTTTTTTTTTTTTTTTTTTTTTTTTTTTTTTTTTTTTTTTTTTTTTTTTTTTTTTTTTTTTTTTTTTTTTTTTTTTTTTTTTTTTTTTTTTTTTTTTTTTTTTTTTTTTTTTTTTTTTTTTTTTTTTTTTTTTTTTTTTTTTTTTTTTTTTTTTTTTTTTTTTTTTTTTTTTTTTTTTTTTTTTTTTTTTTTTTTTTTTTTTTTTTTTTTTTTTTTTTTTTTTTTTTTTTTTTTTTTTTTTTTTTTTTTTTTTTTTTTTTTTTTTTTTTTTTTTTTTTTTTTTTTTTTTTTTTTTTTTTTTTTTTTTTTTTTTTTTTTTTTTTTTTTTTTTTTTTTTTTTTTTTTTTTTTTTTTTTTTTTTTTTTTTTTTTTTTTTTTTTTTTTTTTTTTTTTTTTTTTTTTTTTTTTTTTTTTTTTTTTTTTTTTTTTTTTTTTTTTTTTTTTTTTTTTTTTTCTCTCCTTACACCTTCTTAGAAGGGCCTGCAGGGGGCTAGGAGCCCGTGCGCAGGGAGATTTAACTACCCCCCTCCCTACTGTCCCGCATTCGCCCAATTTATTTTCGAAAACTTCAAGGATTAATTTATGTTGTTTGAATATATGGTTATTAATTTTTTGGGTTGGAAACTGGAGCATTGTGAACTTTAACTTTTAACTAATCCAGTGACTCATAAAAACTGTGTAAGACTTTTCTTTATTTCAACCATTCCCGATTATTGGCACCCACGCGTCCTCATTACACAATGACGCAACATTTTGGTCCTTCGAAGCCGGATTGGTGAATGTGTGAGGTAACAAAAAAGAAAAACTGAACTTGATCATCAGTGCAATCAATAAGTTCAACATAATAACTTAAAAACTACAATCTTAGGTAACATAACCTAGAAGAATGATAATATTAACAAGACTTTCGAAAATTTTGCAAAATTAGGCAAAAAGAAAATGACCGAAGAAGCTTTTGGGAGCAGTAAATCACGCGATACAAGGAGATACTAAAATCACCTACTTATGACGCATAGAACCAGTACATCATAGATGATTCATTCGCTACAACGAAGGAAATTTATCTCGGCTGGTGCAGAGGATTAATCAATCATCTAAACAACTTAAAGCCAAAGCCATTTACGAAGCCGACACAACCACCACCTATGCAGACAGGTGCAGTGATTTTTTTTTCTATCTCTCTCTGATTAGACTCCTTCTTCTTAGAAGGGCCTGCAGGAGGCTTAGAGCCCGTATGCAGGAAGAGATTACTACTACCCCCCTCCCTACTGTCTCGCATTTGCCCAGGCCTGAAGACCTGTGGGGCAAGGGAAACCCGGGGATATACGTAGAGCATATGCACTAGACCCTCTTCCTCCTCCTCCTTCAGGGAAAAATCCGCCCTGAGACAGGCGGAGCACATGAGTTCTCATCCTGCCGAATGGCAATCGGAAAAATCCGATTGTCCTCACCGGGGTTTGAAACCAAGGCTCCTCGAGCAGCGTTTGTTTCTGTAGCTAGCACTCTAACCACTGAGCCAACGACCGCTCTGATTTATATGCAAAGTGATCACTTGAAACCCATTGCATTGCCCAAGTTCTCGGATGAGTTTAAAAATTGAGAGGAATTATGACATCTGTTTACTTTTTACATTATTGATCTGGATGTTGACGACACCCTACCAAGCTTCGAGTTCTAGCTTGTCCAGGAGGCAGAGGTTCTGCTCTCACTGACTCAGGTGGCTGGTGGTGTGAGTGCGTGCTCTGGTGATTGGTTGTCGTTGTACTTCTGTGACACTCTCTCTCTCTCTCTCTCCTCAGGCTGGCCCTTATAGCTGTCTTCAACTTGTCCATCTTTACTTGTTAATATCCCTCCATCACTATGGAAAAAACCTACTATAAGGCCTTTAAACAAGGTGTGCGCGCCTCAATCACCATCTCAGACTCGGCAGATCGCTAATTTGGCGCATCTTGCAAAAGGTTTTTGACAAGTTGCTGGTGGCTCAGATAACTGCACATCTTGAGACATAAAATATGCTTCTGAAGGCTGTGACGGATGATGATGGTTAGATGGTTTGACGGCCTTCAGGGACTATACATCTAGTGTTCCACAAGGCTTAACGCCTGCTCATATACTGTTTGCAGTTTATTATTATCCTTTGCCAAATTGTTATCGTAAGATCGCAATTAATAATTTGAATTACTCTTAGATTGTTTGCGTAGCTCTGAAAAGAGCTGTTTGTAAGATGCAAAAAGAACCATTGTTACATTCCCAATACAGGGTTTATAACAAATAGAATAGATTTGTTTATATATTCTCTATGGACTATACATAATTATCCGTGCTACTTGAGGGGAACAGAATAGGATGGAAAATAATAAAATATGATTTAATAGACTTACAATGTTTGAATGTTTATTAAAGGCTTGTAGTATTGTTAATTCCACTCTGCTACGTCGGAGAGTTTACACTTGCACACTCGATTTACAATTGATATACTTAAGATATACTTCGCACTAGATTCTACTTTGATACTTTAGTTATTAGGCTTTAATCACGACAAAATATATATTTTCGATCAAGAGAACAATCTGTCTAGATGTGTCTCGTACAAAGTTAGTTACAATAAGAAGGGCTAAACGTTAGTTTGCGCCGGGTTATATACCCGATTTAATCTGCGCTTATCGACAGGTGTTTCGCCACCGGTAGGCCTACGTGCGCGAGCGAGTTACCTCCTCGAGCTGGGCTTGCGAAACCACTCTTTGATTATGGTTCATTCACCCAATTATTTCCTATAACTCTTTTCGTCTAATCTATCGTGGCCTACGTGATCTAATGCGCGTATATCTAATGCTCGAGTGTGTACATCTTCCAAAACTGAATAATATTGGCTCGTCGATAGCCATCAGCTGTGTCATCAATGCCTAGGTGTCAAGCGACCGCGCGTGGCTATGGTGTCGTGTGCATTTGCTAGTTACGTAATTCGTCTGCATAGCCTATTCGTTATCTTAGCTGTTCGGTCTAACGCGTGTCTATGGCATGGTGCTCGCGTGTCTTCCGATCATGTGGCGAGTGAGTGACAAGGTATTTTTATCAATACGTAGTCGCGTGCTTAAGCGCGCGAGAGTAAAAGGTCGATCTTTTGACTATATCGCGATCGGAAATTTGACTATTTTCGTTGTATAAAAGTTGCGTTAAGATAACGTAACACCATCTAGAACTCTGGGTCTTCGGGATCGTAGAACAGGTGATGATTGGTGGACGGCACGATGACAACGGAGCGGACTGTTGGCTGTATCTCTTCTTTGTCGTATTCCAAACTCGGCATAGAAAGAGACACGTGTTGTTGACCATCCCAAGGAGGAAGGGGTAAGTCCAGCACCTTTCTAATAGTATCCCTTAGTGGAGGCCGGGGATCTATTTGCCTGCTCTGCTGATGTACTTCCTCTCGTTTGCGCGCTCGGGACCGCTTAATTTTAGATTAAATCATGGTTTCATTTGAGTCTGTAGCGCCCTTGAAATACCTAGGGCTGTGCGAGCACTCAAAAAGACTCGGCTCATCGAGTTCAAAATTTTCCTCGAGTTCGAGTCTAGTACTCGATTTTTTGAGTACTCGAGTTTTTTCGGGTACTCGATTTTTTTTGAATAATCTAGTTTTTCGAGTACTTGCAATACATTTAAGTTTTTAGTAAATAAATGATGAATTAACAGTCTCTAGACCTCCTCTCTTTGTGTTTACATGCTTATAAGTGTGATATTCACAGCGGATTGGATTAGAAGAAAAAAATAATTTAATAGTACCACACTTCATCACACTTATAAGCACGAACACAAAAAGGAAGGGTCTAGAGACTGTTAATTCATCATTCATTTTCTTAAAACTTGAAAATACTGCAAGTACTCAAAAAACTCCATTACTCGAAAAAATTCGAGTACCCGAAAAAACTCGAGTACTCGAAAAAAACGCGAGTACCCGAAAAAACTCGAGTACTCAAAAAATCGAGTACTCTACTCGAACTCGAAGAAAAAACTCGAACTCGATGAGTCGAGTTGTTTCGAGTACTCGCACAGCCCCAGAAATAACCGTGAAAAAAAAATTAAATACTTATTTCAACGTAACATTTTTTGCTCTTTTTAAATTTGAAATAACAAGTAGGGATTTTTATTTGGAAAATCGATTTTTGGGTCACTGTAGCTTTGAAGTTATGTTCAAGGTCAAATCCAAGGTCACCGTTGGAGTCTCCGTGAAAAAGTACGTCGGATAAGGGATTTTAGATTTTTTTTTCTCCACATACTTAACCTGCTTTCAGGAGGTTTCCATACTTTTGTGACACCCTGTATAGAACTATTTGTATGTCTCACCACAAAAGCTATACTCTTGGGGGAGTATCGAAATGCAATACGCAAAGTTTTATGGCTGAAGCGATTCATTACTATAAGAGGCAAATGTACCGAGTTACGGAGTGATGATAGAACTCAATTTGTTGGCGCCGAGGCCAAGTTAAGTTAACTCTGCAAAAGTTCATCACAACATGGACAGTTAGTAACTCGATATGCAGCTGATCTTGGCATAAATTGGCGCTTTATATCTTCACAAGTCCCTCATTTTGGAGGGCTTAGGGAGACTGGAGTAAAATCAGTAAAAAATCATCTTTGCCACGTCTTGGGAGACCACCAACTAACTTTTGAAGAGTTTTCTACCCATTTCTGCTCCATAGAGGAATGTCTTAACTCGTAGCCCTTGATTCCATTGCCAGATGACAGTACTGATTTAAGCCCTTTAATACCATCACATTTTCTAACCGGACGTGGGTCGCTCCTGCTACCGAAACCTCGCATTACGGAGGAAAAAATACCTATTCTGAGAAGATGACGGTAAATCATCTAGATGACACAGCACTTTTGGGATAGATGGAGCGCAGAATACCTTTTACATCTTCAGGCTCGTACCAAATAGCCACAGGAGCGTCCACCGATTAAAATCAATGATCTGGTTCTAATAAAAACTGAAAATACTACGCAAGCTAACTGGCCCTTCGCTAAGGAGACAACACTTCAACCCAAACCACCTCCAAGAGATCTCTGGCCAAATTTGTGTTGCTTCGTGATCACGACGAATAAGTAACATTCGTATCGTCTTCATTGATAGTAGTGGCCTATAGTTTGATAGTTTGCTTTGTTCTCACGACGTGGCGCTAGATCCGATGGTTTGAAGCACGAGTCGCCAGTATCTTGTCGCAGCCCGAGCGATAAACACATCATGCCTAATATATTTTGAAAACTTCAAGGAATAATTTTTGTAATTTCAATTTATTGTTATTAGTTTTTTTGAGTTATTTGGTGATAACAATCATTGTGAACTTTATTTAAATAAACTACTCCAGTAATAAGTAACAACGTTGTAAGACTCTCCTTTATTTCAAATATTCCCGATCGGCACCCGAGCGTTCTCATTACATAGAGACACTACACTATTGATACCTGGATATGTCACAAAAAGCGTAAAAAACTCATTTCAGGATCCTTTCAGTTAGTTTAAGTAGTTTATAAGTTATGTTTTTTTGTAGTCTTCTAATTATATTTTTTAAGCGTATGGAATTTATAAATTTTAGTTATAGTTTATTGTTAAGTGCATTTATATCAGAAAAATTCTGAGTTTCATTGCAATGGATGAAATTTGTGATCATTCATTTTTTTTAGTTTGTATTGTTCCTTAGTGCTGCAGTAATAGATTTATAATTAAGCCTGTGATTATGCAATCGATACAGCTATAGAAGTAGATATTCTAGACTACTTGTAGCATATTTCATAATCGAAAAGATATTAGAAAAATCAAAGCTCAAATTCAACTGTTAAAGTTGAAACATTTAGGTTAGTTACTTCAGCACCAGGGTCGCGTACACTTTTTCAGAACATCAATGGTTACGGTCACTACCTCGAATGAGACGATCGAACGAGCAGATTGCTCTGCATGAACAGTTAGGCACAACTTTTTTTTCCATTTTTCGTATTTACCGAAATTTAAGTCATAAAAGTACTGTTAGAGAGTGACCTATTGGTTCGATCGTCTCATCTGAGGCAGTGACCATAACCATTGATGTTCTGAAGAAGTGTACGTGACCCTGGTGCTGAAGCTCAATCAGCACCCTCTGAAAGTTACGATAGATGACCAAAAACACTACTCGCCAGAAAACGCAAAAGAAGAAAAAATTTAACACGTAAAGTATAGGGAAAGGGTTCACGGAAACAGCTGTATCTCAGGGCAAAATCAAAGTTTTGGAATTTTGAAAAATGCAATGGAAAGGGACGGAAAAATCCTACTCAATAATGCATTAAAAAAATTTTCGAGTTTAAGGTTTATGTGTCCCCTAAAATTATATCGAAATTGTTGTAAATTATTATAAAAAATTGATCAATTTTCTCACCGTCATTTTTTGGTTCTTTAATCTTTGTATTTTCCTGAAAACAGATCAAATAATATTATTACGAGCACGAAATCAATGTCTTTATTTTAGATTGTAATTTGATTTGTATTTATCAAAAGTTATTTAGAATTAAGACTAAATTAATTCCTTATATTTAACATGTAAAAACATATGATGATAAGCAATGACCGATATCTGACTTTATTGCTTTTCATTATAAAAATTTGTTAGAATTGCAAAAAATAGAACCCATTGTTTTACTCTGCACGTTGCGGTATTTATTGATTTTATTATTTCAGTTTATTCATTGTAAATTTTGCAACTTTTAATTTCATATTTTGCCCACAAGTCTGAGTTTTAATAGAAACAGATTATAGCAGTTCCTCTAGTTCATAATGATATATCAGCGCCACGCTAACTCAATAATGGGAAATGCAATTTTTATGCAATAAATATTGCAAGTGGTGCAACAAAAGTACTGAAATGGTGAAACCACTGCAGAGTAATAGCACTGAGGAAACGTATCAGTGAACATAAAAACAACAAAGATCCGAAATCTGTAGTAAGACTGCACTCATTGGAATATGCACATGAGTTTGATTTCAAGAACGTCAGCATTTTGCATACTGAAAATAACTGGTTCAAGAGGCTCATCGCAGAAATGTTTTGCATCAAAAAGACTGTTTCTGCTATTAACAAAAGAGAAGATACACGAGGTTTGAGCGTTGCGTATCGTGGCTTATTTTTGTAAAAGTTTTGTTTGTGTATGGTCAATTTAAATATAAGTCCTACTATTGTTAAATTAGTCTTAGTATTACATCGACTAGCAGCATGGTATGTACTTGCGAATATGAAAGTGATTGTAAGAGTGTTGTATGTTTATGTATAAATTTGTTTTTTATAGCCTGAAGAGGTCTAGAAACATGCTAGACAAAACGTTCCAAAAATAAATTTGACGATCGACAAATTTCTTGTCGAATGACACACAAAAAGTGATGTCTTTGTTACCTACACAGATTGACTAGCGAATGCTAGAGCATTATCCTTGGATTACTGAATCTCTACCGACTTATCGATTGGATTAGCGACTCACTGCACAGACGGACCTCATCGTTGCTCGCACATCTCACTCGTTTAATCACTCTTGCTGGTTCTCTCTCACTGCCACTCCAGTGCCCAAAATATTGTCTGTCATAATCATGTCTCTTGTCGATGACCCCGATCACGCTGCACCAATATGGTTCCTTTAGCTGCAACAGAAGCTTATGGCCCGTTTTGATCGAATCGATGATCATCTGGATGCTATTGTAAAAACCTAGCACGGGCAAGAGGAGGCAATAGCGCAGAACACCAGAGACATTGCAGAACTCAGCCGACGCCTCTCAGACGAGTTGTTGAATTCAAGGAACCGGAAAATCGCGAACGAGCATGTTTTCGCAAGTTTCAAGGAGAGAATTGCAACTGCGACAGAAACTTCAACCGCTGCACCCACACCTGCTCCAACTTTTGAGACTGACGGGATGACTGCGAGGTTCACCTGTCGGGCCTTCCGGTGAAATTGGACCCCTGTGACATTGCCAAAGTCAAACATGTACTTGTAGCGCTAGGCGAGGAATGACTTTTGCCACACGTAATACGTATGCGAGCGTGGAAAGCCAAACCTCGTGTACCAGACAGTAACTCTTCAACCTCTCACATTGACGCAGCTACAAAACCCGTACCAAACACTAAAGCCTGCGTGATTCGCTTTGCCTCGACAAACACACGTGAGTCGTTTCTCACCGCTGCACCGCGATTCCAGCATCTTCCAGTGTCGAAGATTTTTACATTGCCTGAAACCGAGGACGGTCGTCTCAGCGCAGCCCCCATTCTGCCACCTGAGCGCTATCGACTACTGAGGAGATGCTGGCTCTTTCGAAAATAGCACAGACTGCCCAACTCTATCGTCCACAACATGCGCATTTACATGCGTTACTCAAACTGCACTGATCAACACCGAGGCTGATTTGAATGCGCTTGCTATCGCACTATCATCGCTCTCTAGCTCGTTCTCTTCTAGCTGTCGCTCATCACCAACCAGCGCATCATAGGACCTTGCCTTCTCTCGTCGTCAAGAACCGTCAAAAATGTTCCTCAATAATTTCACTTGTACACTAACTACACACTTTTAATCTACAACACTGTATGAGAGCCAACTGTAAACTGAAAAATACCACATCTATGTATATACTTTTAAGCTACACATTACTATACTGCTTCACTAAATATTGTAAAACTTGTTATAATGAGCACAATATCGTAAACAAATTGTAAATTGTATACAATATTTCTATAAACTTTTTAAAAAAGCTGCATACTGAGCCAGTCGGGGTTCTACCCCACGGTCCGATCAAATAAATTTCAATTTCAATTTCAATTTCAATTTCTGCACCTCAGCTATAAAATATGCTGAATTATAATGTTTTTCTTTCTATTTTAATATCAGCAACGCATGTGTGTGAGTGCATGTGTGTGGACTCGCGTGATTGAGTAGCGCCGTATGCCGCGGGTGCGTGTGGTACATAGGACTTGGAGTCACGTGTGCACCTCGGACGGACTTGGTTATCAAGCCACATAAAGTGGTGTCACTGCAGGCTGGATCTCCACATGTTTCTTTTGTACGCGGCGACGGATTGTCACGTGATTTCTGCGTATCGCATGCGTGAATTTAGTAGCACGGACAGACCAAGAGGGCTGAACTGACCAAGGTGACGACAAAGTGCGCAACTAACTATAAGTACCACTCAAGGGCCAAGCCCTCTCTAAGCATGTGCAATCATGATTGCAGTATGTTAGAAATGAATGTCCGTAATTGCGCTGCTGCATGCACTGTAATTTGTGATGCAAAAACTTGAAGCTTAATAATAATTGATATCCTTAATTATTAATTCAATTTACGAGTGATTTTTTGTCTTTCCAGTCAATTCTTTTCCCTAGTTTTTGGATAACGACGCCATCACGGTCCGTGCAAATTGCCGCACCAAATCGCGAACTTATATTCATCGTAAAGGTCGCGGGAACCGTTACAGACCTTGAACTGGATTTTGATTAAGAACTTTATACTCCAGTGAGTTGCGTTTTCAAATGTCACCATTTTTATTATAGGTTTGAACAAAACCGAAAAATTTACGTCCATGCTAAATGTTTTATTTCAGGGTCATTTAAATGGCACTACAGAATCGAGTCAAACCCTTATTATAGCCCAAATTTTTCAAAAAACATCGAAAGAAAATTTTTTTCCACATAGGATTCTTTGAGAAAAATACTATGAAAAGCATTATGATTTGAATTATCGTACTTTTTCTCTCTCGTCGGAATCAACTACTGTAAGCCACAAACGTAACTGTCGAGTTAGTTCGTTCGACGGCATCAATTATCAAACGTGGAGGTTTCAAATGAAAACGGTACTCACGGCATATAGGGTTTTCGATGTCACAAGCGGTACATGTGTAAAATCCGAAAATGATACAGATCAACAAGCTACTTGAGAAAAGGACAACGCCAAGGCAATGTGTCCGATATTATCGGCTATGACTTTCGATCAGCTCAAGATAGTGAAGAACTGCTCAACTACAAAGGAGATGTGGACTACGCTCGCTACAATCCACGAGCAAAAATCGTCTATGATCTAGCTCGTTATGATGCAGCGCTTTTATGACTAAAGGATGGATCCGGTAAGTACAGATATGCAACACGTTTGCAGGGTACAAAATTTAGCGCGAGTATTGGAAGATATTGGTAAAAGGATCATCAAAGATTTTGATGCTGTCAATAAGTATTGATTATAATTTCTTTATTACTGGGACCGCGGGGTATAAACCCCATATGGCTCCGAATCTGAGATGCAACAATGAGAATATATTACTTGCTAATATTAGAAGTTTGAAGGCCAATTATCTGAAGCTACAGGTTTTACTAAATAACTTCGGGGTCAATAAGCCCAGCATTGTTGTATGTACTAAGACTTGGGACTCTATATTGATAACAACTATAATATGAAAATTTCAGCAATATACAGATCGCATGAATTACTCAAGGCGGAATTTATACAACATCTTAATGAGTATGTTATGGCTCTTTAGCCAAACATTTATGAATCAATATTATTATCGCTTTTATCTTATACTTGCGCGCATTTTTGCTTGTCAGGCGAGCATGTGCGTAAGTGAGTAGGGTGAGGAGAGAAATGAGGCTACATTGTTTTAATTCACACGACTAATTTTTATTATTCATATGGCTTACAAATATTGCTGCTGCTGCTGATTGGGCTATTGGCTGTTGTGCGGCTGCTGGCTGATATTGATGAGAGCACTCGGCACTGTCACTGCACTCTCGAATGGACTCTATAAACTTGTACTTATGGACTAGCGTAGCTTCGTCATGTCTAAGCTCTCGTACTGGTCTCTCTGGTGCCCTCCTTTTTCGGGCCGTATATAAGCTGAATGGATTGACCCTCTCCTGATTCGAAAACATAATACCCAGTTGATTCAAGCGCAGGCTACAGGCCCGGTGTGTGCTCAGGTGGGCTACGGGTTTCTCAGAAATCGAGGCCTGTTCTCCATTTAACGAATCGTGTGAAATGGATTATAAGCATAGCTGAAGTGGTTCTTATCTCTGCTCGTAAGTGCGGGTGCACCGGTGTACTGCTTCGTACACAGATGCTCTTTCCTAGAAATCTCTGAACTCTAGAAGTATGACGATCGATTTAATAAAGGCTCTCTTTTTTTAGGCAGTTACTTGAGGTGAACGCCCGTTGTCGGTTCCTAAATCCTAAATTGGGTTACAAAGTCACGTAGGCATGGCATGAATAAGCCTTTCCGTGAATTTGTCGGTTCACTGATGTTTCTATGTTATGTGACTCGCTCTGAATTGGCATATACCGTAAATGTAATTAGCAGGTATTTTAACAATTTTAACAGAAATCTTCGGGAAGTGGGAAACAGAATTGTAAGATATGTAAAGGGAACGTGCAATATTTGGATTACTTACTGTTAC